AGCCTATTTCAGATTATTACACAAATTACACAACAGTACATAACAAAATCTGGCACAAAGTTAACTATATACCTCATAAACTCATGTGCGGGAAGAAAAACAAAACAATAGCATACACGGGTTTTTGTAAGAAAAACAGACATTTTAGCCAAATCAGCAATTATAGTGCTTCTTCTTCATATGATTGGAAACCATGTCCATGTTGAACTCCAAAAACAATATACGCTGCTTCTATAACATTTAAGGATTAATACACTGAACTCTTAGCTTGAAAATATGATAGTAGCCATTTAGAGCACTCATTAATTTCAAAATCAGTTTAGGCTGCTTAACAAATGAAAGTAAACTATTGAATTCCTAAATTTATAACATTACTATCAATCAAGAAGGTAGTCATCATATATATTCATGAACGGAAGATCGAGAAATAGACAAACTTATAGCTCGCAACTCTTTTTTAAGAAAAATAAGGTGAATGAAATAAATTTCTAGTCAAAGTTTGGATTACTTCTTTGAGGAATTTTGTTGAACACCATAGATACGTTTAAAGCTCCTTCCAATATTAGGTTATTAATTTCCCAATTAAGACTCAATTAATTAGTCAGTCTCGTTTCTCACATACACACATACTAATTACATACAAACTATCTCAATTAAGTATCATGTCTCAATAGAAATCAGTACATATTTTCCAAATCGTATGACAAACAAAGTAATTAAAAAAATGCATTCAAAACATATTTACCTGAACACCGGAGACTGGTTCAAAACAAAGAAGGGGCATCCGGAAATTGAAGTGAAGAAAGAGTCATCCCTCATCAATGATGCCCGTCCGAAGAGAAGAAAGAGTCAAATGTGGGCATCGTTTCATCGGAGAAGTAAAACAGCGCATGTTTTTTTAAATGTCATGGCCGACTAACGAATGTAATTATTCGGACGATTCGGACGTGTACTCGGTCTGTGCGGCCGATTACTCGGTGGAGCGATTTGGAGGGTGAAAACAAAAAAATCACCACAGTAGCTTACCGCCTACCGACTTTCCGGCGCCTATGCGGCCAATTTGGGCGACTTTTAGAACCATGTATAGAACAAAGTGTGGTCACTGAGGGTCTCGAAATCCTACTCACTCCTCGTTGAAATAGTGACTCCCGTACGAGGTTAGCAATGTATGTGCTTTAATGATTCTAGAATGCTGATCTATGTGATAACATTGAAGGAGTATGCGGGATACTTGTGAAAGAATCACCTATTTGAGAGAGAAGAGGGGTGCTTCAAAGTATGCACCCCTACCCTCTACCCCATCTCTAGCTTCCTGGTCACCATTCTTTGATTCTCGGCCATATGGCCCATATGCGTTGACGAAAGGTGGCACCCTCTCTTGATTTCTCCCCGTTTGTTAATGTAATTTTTTTACAAACTGACCATAGAACTAGAAGTAACTTTTAATTATTATTATTATTATTATGGACAATTTTACATAACTATGACAATGATTGTATGAGGTATACATATAGTAACTTTAGTAGATCAAAGTTTTCACAAAATTTTTGACATGATAGTTGATACTATCGTCTTTTTTAAAATTCCAAAAACACGTCTTCAAACTATTGATAAATATGCTACAATATGAAACTTTAAAATATATGAATATTTGAGATACAGGAATACGATGTTGCCTCAGCTTGTTGAAGTGTTCATGCTAATTGCTATGTACACTTTTGTTGGGATATTGATCCAGAGGCCCAATACCCGGGTCCGAAAGGCCCAATACCCGGGTCCGAAAGGCCCAAGATATCCGGCCCAAGCAACGGGCCCATCACGCTACGATGAGATAATCAAGGTAGAATTAATACCGAACGAGATTCGGCCCAAATAAGGGTTGGCCCAGTAAGGAGACATACCGAACGGGGTTCGGACTATATATCATACTTGGGCCAATTTGACAGCATCTTTAGTACAGCCCAACATCTCGTTCGAGCAACGGCCAACCAGCAAGTGGCCAGGTGCAATTAATGCCAGACTGTGACATCAACAAGTGGAAGCATGAATGACCAAGTCGGTGGAACAACGGCCAATCAGCATAGGGCAGCCCATGCTCTCCATTAGTATAAATAGAAGGTTTCAAGTCATTGTAAGGGTTAGCATTTCAATACTCAGGCTCTAGAATAACATCTTTGCTCTTATTTCTTGTATTAAAGCATTGTTTCCGACCTACCGATCGGGAAATTCCTTGTAATCTGACTGGTTAATTAATTAATACAAGTGAGCTTTCGAATATTAGTGAGTTCATATTTTATATTTTGTTTATACACTTCGATTCTGTGCCATTCTTGATATATCCAAAGTTCGTGTTGGGCTTTCGGATCTACGGGATTTACCTTTAACATTGGCGCCGTCTGTGGGAAACTTGCAAAAAGTTTCACATTCAAATCATCCAAAAACCTCTATTTTCAAAATGGTCAGAATCACCTCCTATCATACTTGCGTGGAGTCACACCCCGGGGAGCCAAAACCCTCAGGGACAATCCACCCGAGGATCGTATCCTCGTTTTGATGGGGATTTTGTGATTCCCGAATCCCAGAGAAGAAATCCTCAGGCCATGCGAGACATGGCTCAGGTCATGCAGCATATGGCGAACGAAGAGGAAGGAGGGTCCAACTTTACAGGGGAGACTCCACGCACGGAAACAACTATAGCATCATCCCGTTCGCATGCCCATCGGGATAATCGACGTAGCGCCCCACCAACAGCGCACCACAGTCCCAGTGATCGAACCCCGATCGGGTCACAAGCTAGAGGACCAACTCCCATTGGTCATCATTTCCAGAATGCCGAGCGGGAGAATACCAGGGCCCCTCAACGGCATTGGGACCGGGACTATACAGACATGAGGGCTCCACCACCGCCCCCTTTGACGGCCCAGGAGGAAGAAATGGCCGAGATGAGGAGGCAGATGAATGAGATGCGGGATCAAATGAACAGGGCACCTGTACAACCTGCCCCAGTTCAGCTGGGAATTACTTCCCCTTTTACTAGGGAACTCATGTACGCAAACATCCAAGGGGGTGCCAAGCCACCGACCGGCCAAATCTATGACGGGGTGGGAGATCCCCATGTGCATTTGAGGAGTTACCAGGGGGGACTCATGTTGCTAGGGGCACCCGAGGCCGCTATTTGCCGTTTTTTTAGTACGCTCAGGGGGGCCGCCCAGGAGTGGTTCGGGACACTACAACCCGGATCAATCAACAGCTTTGCCGAATTATCGGCGTTATTCTTGGCCCAGTTTGCTTCCAGTGCCAATCCCAAACGGCACTTCAGCTATTTGACCTGCGTGAAGCAAAACGCCAAAGAGACCCTCAATCAATTTCTGAAAAGGTGGAGGGATGAAACTTTGACAGTAGGAAACATGACGGATGATACCGTCATTACCCTGTTCACGAATGCTCTCCTAACGGGGGAGTTGTACAAGGAATTAAAGAAAAATCCGGGCACAGTCTACGCCGAGGTATTAGACAGGGCTCGCAAGCATGCCGCCCTAGAAGAGGAGATAATGATCAGGGATAAGGTCGTTGCGCCTGCTGCCCCGATCAGAATGGCCGATCGGCTGGGTCCTAGCCCAGCGGCCGCTATACCTCCCAAGCAAGGGAGATTTACACCCCTGGTCCTATCAGTAGCGACCATTTATCAGCACGAGAGGGACAATATTCCCCTCCCGACTGATTCTGGACAGTTCATGGGAGCGGACGATAATGCTTTCTGTAAATATCACAACATGAAGGGTCATGCCACCAATGCCTGCAGGGCCCTACAAACAGCCATTGAGGATTTGATCCGAAGGGGTCATCTGGGCAAATATGTGAATAAAGATCCAAATGCTGTGGGCACGTTGAAACCGGCCAGGAAACCTAATAGTTGGCGCCGGGATGCCCAACGTGATGCCCAACCTCAAAATAACGTATATGTTCTCCCCTGGGATGAACCAGAGGGCTCGGGAGGCCCTGGAAAGAAACCTCGAATGGAGGTCAAGGTTATATTCGGGGGCGGAGAGACAGAGGATTCGAACGCCGAACGGAAAAGGTTCGAGCGAAGTCTTTATGTGGGATCTGTCTCCGCTCCCCCCCAGAAAAAAAGGAAGGACGGACCCGATCACGTTCGGGCCAGCTGATTTACCCAACTCTCCAAGCCCGCACAGGGATGAACTGGTGGTAAGCATGTGTATTGACAATGCTTTGATCCGCCGAGTACTGGTCGATACCGGGAGTAGTGTGAATGTATTGTATCTACAATCATTCGAAAAAATGGGTCTACAAAGAAGCCAACTGACCCACCTACGGACCCCACTGACAAGTTTCACCGGTAATTGCATTGAGGCTGAGGGTACCATCCAATTGATGGTTGAAATTGGGGATGAAACCCACAAAGCGTCACTCTGAATGACGTTTGTGGTAGTGGATATAAAGTGTACCCACAATGCCATATTGGGCCGACCTGGATTGGAAGATCTGGAGGCAATAGCCTCTGTCCGCCACTCATGCATCAAATTCCCTACAGACACTGGGGTTGGGGTGGCCAGAACTGATCCGACTACAGCCCGGACATGTTATCGGGAGGCCCTGAAACAGATGAACACTCGTGGGATGCGGGTTAATACCATTGAGGTGGAAACCCACCGAACGGAGTTCGAGGCACACCCAGAGCCCGCCACCCTTCTTGAACAAATCGACCTCGATTTCCCCCCGAACCGTAAGGTGGCTATCGGCGTAGATCTGGAGGCTGATATCCGGGATGGCGTGATTGCCGTCCTCAAAAAGTTTCAGGTACTGTTTGCCCGGGGGCCAGAAGATATGCCCGGTATTGATCCGGAAATAATATGTCACAAACTTGTCGTTCGGCCTGAGGCAAAACCAGTCCAGCAGAAGAAACGGTATCAAGCGACCGAACGGCGGGAATTAACAAAGCGGGAGGTGGCCACCTTACTGAAAATAAAGCACATCCGTCC